AGTGAAAAACCGCCTCTGGTGGTCCACTGGGACGGTAAAATCATGCGAGACAGCACGAACTTAGAGGATCCAAAGTCCAATGTTGACAGAATTGGTGTTAGTGTGACTGGTGTAGATTTGGAGAAAATCTTGGGAATTGTCAAGCTTCCAGCGGGCACTGGGGTAGCACAAGCCAAGGCAACATTCCAGTTGGCCAAAATTTGGGATGTTGATAGTGAAATCGTTGGCATGTGCTTTGACACCACAGCTTCGAATACGGGCTCCAAAAATGGTGCATGTGTCTTGCTGGAACAACTAATTGGGAGAAACCTTCTATACTTAGCTTGTCGACACCACGTGCATGAAGTGATTATTGGTGAAGTGTTCACAGTTTTGCTTGGCCCAAGCCGTGGCCCAAACATTGCTCTATTTGAACGTTTTCAGCAGTCTTGGCCAACTATTGACCAAATGAACTTTGTTCCACTTGATGATACGCGACTTACAGTTCCACAGCTGCAACAACTCAGAGCAGAATTTGGTCCTTTCTTGCTGTCTTTTCTGTCAGGTCAAACGTCATATCTACCACGAGAGGACTACAAGGAAATGATTGAACTTTGCCTCTTGATATTGGGTTTCACACTACCAAGCCATCCAGCTGGTGGAAAGCCATATCATTTCAGACAGCCGGGTGCCTACCATATGGCAAGATGGATGGCAAAGGTCATATATTGCATGAAGATTTTCCTGTTCAGGAATGAATTCAAACTGACTTCAACTGAGGTGAAAAACCTGTCTGAATTTTGCATTTTTGCAGCTCACATTTATGTACCAGCTTGGATTGCTTGTCCAGTGGCAAGTGATGCACCATTGAATGATTTGATGCTGTTTCAGAGAATAAAAAGATATGCTGAGGTACACAAGATTGTTTCACAAGCAGCTTTGAAGAAATTGCAGAATCACATGTGGTATCTTGGAACAGAAATGGTTCCTCTTTCACTGTTCTCCAGCAAAGTATCTGATGAAGAAAAGAAGTTGATTGCGGAAGCCATGATCCTCAGTGGAGATGATTGGAGTGTCAGGGGAAACAAGTTTCCAGTATCAAAATGTAATGAGTTGGAGAAAAAGCAACTACATGAACTGGTAACATCATCATCAACAGCTGCATTGCAGTCACTTGGACTTGACATAACTACCTTGTCAGGACTTGAGCCCCCGAGTTGGGAAGAAAGTGCTTCATTTCGAAAAACCAAAGCTGTTGTTGCTTCTCTCAAGGTTATCAATGATACTGCCGAGCGCTCTATTGCACTGATGAGTTCTTTAAACCAGTCAATAACAAAGACAGAGTCTGAAATGCAGAAACTCCTCCAAGTTGTTGAGGACAACAGGAAGCGCATTCCAGATTACCGGAAAAGCACCCTGATGGCATATGCCCCTCGGTAGACGTCGCAAGCTTGAAAACTGAAATAAGTTGAACTTTGAACACGTGAACAATAAATGAGCATGCAATAAAAATCTGAACGAACATGTTTAAAAATTGCTGTTAATTTCTTTGATATTAATTTTGATAAATTAAAAATTGTTAATGTGTGACTGATTGTGTCTGCACTGTCTGTGTCATAACCAGTATGTCTTTTTGAAATGAATAGTAATGTATCTATCACATTTTATCATCTTGTGATTCTAGTTTGAAGATTTCAGTCAAAAAAGTGCAGCCGCGGCAAGTTTATCTGTACTGTTAAACTTCACCTCCATTGAGCAACTTGTAAATATCAAAATATAAATGCCAAAATTTGCATAAAAGTTAGTTTCCATCAAAGGAACAAAATGAGATACTGTGCTAGGTTGAATTCAAAAATTTTTTTTTTTGGACATACCTACCCCCCTGTATAAGAATCGTTTTCGACATAAAACTAAGTAAAATATGCAATATAGTATCAATTTTATACTTAGAATATCATATCCCCCTGTATAAGAATCGTTTTCGACATAAAACTAAGTAAAATATGCAATATAGTATCAATTTTATACTTAGAATATCATATCCCCCCTGTATAAGAATCGTTTTCGATATAAAACTAAGTAAAATATGCAATATAGTATCAATTTTACATTTAGAATATCATATCCCCCCTGTATAAGAATTGTTTTCGTTATAAAACTAAGTAAAATATGCAATATAGTATCAATTTTATACTTAGAATATCATATCCCCCTGTATAAGAATCGTTTTCGACATAAAACTAAGTAAAATATGCTATATATAGTATCAATTTTATACTTAGAATATCATATCCCCCCTGTATAAGAATCGTTTTCGATATAAAACTAAGTAAAATATGCAATATAGTATCAATTTTATACTTAGAATATCATATCCCCCCTGTATAAGAATCGTTTTCGACATAAAACTAAGTAAAATATGCAATATAGTATCAATTTTATACTTAGAATATCATATCCCCCTGTATAAGAATCGTTTTCGACATAAAACTAAGTAAAATATGCAATATAGTATCAATTTTATACTTAGAATATCATATCCCCCCTGTATAAGAATCGTTTTCGATATAAAACTAAGTAAAATATGCAATATAGTATCAATTTTATACTTAAAATATCATATCCCCCCTGTATAAGAATCGTTTTTGACATAAAACTAAGTAAAATATGCAATATAGTATCAATTTTATACTTAGAATATCATATCCTCTCTGTATAAGAATCGTTTTCGTTATAAAACTAAGTAAAATATGCGATATAGTATCAATTTTATACTTAAAATATATTTATATATATATATATATTTGATTTTACTTTAACCATATATACTTTGTTTATGTCCGAAATTTATTTCGGACGGCGTAGGTGCACTTCTAAATGCTATAACTTTAAATCGCGTCTGCGTTTTTAATCTTCTTATGGGGGATATGATATTCTAGGCGGATACTATATTCTATTACAGGTTGTACCATATAATTTTACGTTTGCGATGTCTTTTTTGATTTTTGTATATTTGCCGTTGGTAGGTGAGTTTTGAATTGTATCCTGATTTACGTAAAGCCTCTTCATACGGAAGAATTGAATTATTGAACACAGTTTCATTTACTGCCATATTCGATAATCTTAACTCAATAGTGCGAGGGATTTCTTTTATTATATTAGGTGGATGGTTTGACTTTGAATGAACATACATAAGTTGGTTATTAGGTTTACAATACGGTTGATAAGAGCTGTCAATCAGGTTCAATGTTACATCAAGATAATTGACAATTTCAATATTACATTGGATGGAGATAAGTAGGTTGTTACTTTTAAAAATGTGTAAAATGCTTTTTGATTTTTTCCATTTGCTGGCCGCTTTTGTTTTCAAAAATAGCAAGCCCGTCGTCACGATACAAGCCAAAATTATTTTTATCGTAATGTTGAGAGAGCTGAAACAACATAAAAATACCAACTAGTTCACAAACTTCAGCTCCATCAAATGCTCCCATTGTGACATCAAATAATCCGCCTCTTTTCTTTATCCAAGCTTCATCGTTATTAAAAATTAAAGATTTTCTTGCATGATATATTATTTTTTTATTGTCATTTTTTATAATAACATGTTGTTTGGCGAAACTGATTGCGTTGGTAAGAATGTTTTCACTAATAGATGGGTAAAAATCATTTATATCAAAAATTAGAAATTTGCAAAGCTGTTTATTTTTGATTTTTTTAAACCAATTGATAACAAAATGGGTGCTTTGCCATTAATGCAACTACAGTTTATTTTTTAATTTGTGAATAATTTTAAATAAAATAACTTTACTAATTCTTCCTACCTCCTTTTTCGAAGGGTTTAAAAGGCGAACTGAAGGGTTGTTAATAAAATTATCCTTATGGTCTTTTGTAAAAAAAATGTAAAAAAAACAGCCGGATGATCCGTTTATCTCAATATTGTTATACACTTCATGGTGGATTAAAAGGTTTTTTCCTTCCAACACCATTTTACTTAATAAAAGATATGAAATAATATCAAAATGCCGGCATTTAAAAAAATTTTTACTATCCTTATTTGATACCGGGGACTAAAACCTTTGACATCTTTTTGTTTTGTTTTGTTTTGTTTGGTAACGTCAAAACTCGTTTCACCGTAATTTTAATTTGTAATTTTTAAACGGTTTTTAAGTGACGAAATACACAATGACTGATGATTGCCAAAAAGCATGAAACTCAGAGTTTCATCAAAAGTTGTTTTTATTCATTTTATATAAATAAATAAATAAATATTGCTATATTATTTAATAGTATTGAGCACTCTTAAACGCACAAGAGTATTTGTATTATAATTATTATACCATAATAATACATTTTCTATTTTGTATGTATATATATATATATATATATATATATATATATATATATATATATATATATATAATATATATATATATATATATATATATATATATCATATACATCTTATATAGAGTTAAATAAATTAAGTATAAATCAAGGCTTTCTGAATAAGAAATCTTATAAAGGGTTGTCTTTTTACAGAAATGCGGTAGAAATATATTGGTAAGTTTTAAAGGAAGCAGTTACAAATTAGACTGCCATCGCATTCTAGTAGTTTCAGGAACATGGACCTAACTCATTGTTTATAAAGGTTCATTATGTAAAGTTAAAAAAAGGTTCCAACAACAATTAAAAAATTTTGTTTTTGGAAATATGTTAATGTTCAAACAAAATTAAAAACAAATTTAATTTTTTTTAAAAAAATATTAGGCTGAATGCTTAACTGTTTTAAAGAAATCTTTACAAATTAAAACTGGGTGTATGGGTGTGTATTTTAGACTAAAAGGATAGAAATTGTAGTAAAAGAAATTTAGGCTAGAAACTCAAAAGGATCAAAATTCAATTAAAAAAATAAAAATTAATAGTAAAAATAGTTAAATATTAAATGTATGAAATTTAAATGTATTTAACTGATAACAAAACAACACAAAAATTAACAGAAATAAACTTTAAAATCTTTTTACCTTTTTATATCTTTAAATTTAATATTGGGATTTTTCATATCAAGATTGTCCTCAAGATCTGAATAAAAGCCTAAATAAAAAAAAAATATTCAAAAAAAAATTATTATTAAACATTCAAAACTTTATGGAATTTTAAAAAAAATAAAAGCTTACATGTTTGCTTTTGAATCACTTCCGCTACCAGAGAATAAAAACATAGAGAGTCAGATATCAATGGATTAAACTCTATAATTTTCTAAAAATAAAATCAGTATATTTATAATCTATATAAAAACTTTAAAAAAATCACTCAAATCAATGTAAATAAAAAAGGACAAAATTTCTAAAATTTTTTTAAAAAAGGTTTGCTTTAATAAAAATAAAAAGTCTTTACTATTGTTACTTAGCAACTGGTAACACACAGAACCTACCTGCATATCAAATTTGATATCAATATCAACATTTGAATCTTTAAACCCAAGCAATGTTAATGAGGAACCATGCAGTTGACAGTGTAGGTCTTGAAATAAAAATAAAAAAACACAGAAAACAGTCATAAAATTAAAAAAAAAAATTAAAAAAAAAAAAAATTGAAAAAAATTAAAAAATAAAATTTTAAATCATATAAAAATCTCAAACTTTACCAGGTGCAATCATTTTTTTTAAGCATTCTTCAAATTGTTTACATACTTCATTTCTCAAATATAGATCTTTTTTTGTCAAGCGTTCTGTTGTCAACAGTTGTTGCTCCAATAAATTGTTTAATTGAAATTCATAATTATTATTCATAGCTTCAAAGTGTTTCTTTTTTTTTTTTTTAAGTTGTTCCTATAAAACAAACCAATTAAAACCCAACAAATAATATTATATTTTTATCTGAAATGATTTAAATACCAAAAGGGTTGCACCCTAATTCACTAATTTGCTGAAATTTGGCACTTTTCTAATTTTGTCATTAGAGATCTTTAGGATCAACTTCAAGTTTGTTAGATAATAACTGAAAAGTGAGAAGCAAACAATGAGAAGCAAACAATGAGAAGCAAACAATGAGAAGCAAACAATGAGAAGCAAACAATGAGAAGCAAACAATGAGAAGCAAACAATGAGAAGCAAACAATGAAAAGCAAACAATGAGAAGCAAACAATGAGAAGCAAACAATGAGAAGCAAACAATGAGAAGCAAACAATGAGAAGCAAACAATGAGAAGCAAACAATGAGAAGCAAACAATGAGAAGCAAACAATGAGAAGCAAACAATGAAAAGCAAACAATGAGAAGCAAACAATGAGAAGCAAACAATGAGAAGCAAACAATGAGAAGCAAACAATGAGAAGCAAACAATGAAAAGCAAACAATGAAAAGCAAACAATGAGAAGCAAACAATGAGAACAATGAGCTTTTTTTGTAACTTCTACTTTAACAAATGTTGGCTTTTTGCACTAAAGTCACAACCATGGCTTTCATATCATTCATTGGATATATTCATTGGATACTACTATATGTATACTACATATTACAAATCTGATATCACAAAATTCAACAGATAGTGTCACAATACTCTATTTAGAAATTATCTTTATTAAAGTAGTTCGACCATACTTTTATGTAATAATCCTATTTTGAAAACTTCAACTCGCATCTGAGATTAGACCATCAATTTAACTGTCTATACTTTGAATTTAAGGATCAGAGTCCTTTTATATCTCATTATTCTCATAATCTAGATCTATACCAGGAAAGAAAAAAACTTCTCCCTAAATTGGTAAATCAATGTATATAAATTGTCAGTCAAGATTTATTAATTTTGTGGTCACATTAACACTGGACATTTGTCCTAGCATTTCTCCTAGACTGGTAGGGTTGTTCCTCAATATATGAGGAACAACCCTACCAGTCATATGCTCTGTCTGTCATGTTAAAATCACAAGCCTTTTGTATTTATTAACTCATTTGATTGAAATAGGAACTTTCATGTTTTTTAACCAAAATTGTGAATGTGTGGTACTTTTCTCTGATCATTTTTGCAATAATTTGTTGACACAGCAGATAATTATACTTCGATATCCAGTTGAAGAAAAATTTCTGAACCACTATTTTGCTTGCCATTACATGATAAAACCTTTTAAGGTCCCACTTAACACATGTGTATCATTAGTTTAATTAGATCAGTTCCACTTTGCACACATTTTTGTCAAATAGAGATTCATTTATGTGATACAATTATCTCCATGAGTAGATCAGGTTTATACTTATGAGCAGTTGTAGCGCAGTTAAGAATGACATTTTTGTGAAATTTTTTTAAAATAAATTAAAAATAAAAAATGTCAGCATAATATATTATGCTGACTTTTTTTTTTTTTTAAGTTAGCATAAAATGTGCTGCAGACTACAGACTTGATAATTTATTCAAGGATATTTTATTTCTAAGAGTAAACAAAGAAAAAAGTCAATAATGTCATGTACTAAAATTCTTAGAAATAAAATGCGTTTGAATAAATTATTAAGTCTGTAGATTGCATGTCTCAGAGGTTTTGGATTTCTAAAAAAAAAAATGACAAATGTATGCATTTGTCTGTATGTTTACATTCACATTACATTCACACAATCTTCACATTCTTATAATTCATCATTTAATATTTACAATCAATATTCACATTCATATAATCACACAATATTTTATTAGGGATGGGGGGGTCCAAAATTCTATATTTCTTGTTTAACCAGTTATTCTTAATTAATTTTTTGAGAAAAGTTTAAAAAACAATTCAGTTTTTGCTAATTTTTTATGGTTGACCTTCTACTTCTATTTTAAAAATTTAAAGTTATAAAGTCTTTGCAAAAATTTCTTTGCGTATAAAGTTACGCAACTTTTCTTTCAAATATATTCTATTCAAATTTTGATTGGATAAATTTGATTTTTAATCGTTGCGTTCTAGAAAAAAAAAAGTTTTATTTGAAGTCTTTTTTTAAAAAAACATTTTAAATAAGTAAAACAACAGATTGCTTCAAAAAAAAAGTTTTATCTGAAATCTCTTTCTAAACAAAACATTTTAAGTAATCAAAAAGACAGATTGCTTCAAAATATCTTTATTTCCTTTTTTTTTTTTTATTGCTATTCAAGCTATCAAGAAGTCTATTCAAGATTTTATTTTTTATTTCACTTTTCTTTAACGAAGTCAAGAATAAATCTTCTTTTAAAGCGCCAGTCAGTAGAAGTTTAGTTAAATTCTAAAGTTTTAACAATTCTAAAGATAAACAAGCTAAAGAAACATTGTTACCTAAAAGGCTTTATAAAAAACAAACTGGGTGATCAAATTTTGAAATTTTCTGCTTTACTCTAAAACGCAGTGAATAGCTAGTTAAAAAAAATTATAGAAGCAGTTAATAAACATACCTCAAAGAGGTTGAATGATTGTATCATTCTTACTAGAGTATTTTGGAAAAAGTTAGCCTTAGGACTTCAAAAAAGAGAAAAGTATTATGTGTTTGGTTGATGATGGAATATGATTAGTATTAACTTTCTAATAAAGTTGTTGCAGTTGGAAAGCTTTGGAAAAAACACATTTAATTTCAACAGTAGATGTACACTTATTTATTTAAACTATATAAAAAATGAAGGTTTGCGTAGTTTAAAAATATTTTTGAAAATTATTGTCCAGTTATTTGTCCAAAAAGTTGAAACTATGGAATATAGTTGAAACAAGCTACAAAAACAAATGGATAACAATGGAAGAGCAGCAAACTTTACATCAGGTGTGCAAGATGAGTTCTGTTTTAGCTTGATTAAAGTTACAAGGCAGCCCATTTAGCTGTGAACTAGACATTATTGAAGTAGATAAATTTAAGTTAAAAAGAGAAAAAGTTTTATTAAAAATTTATGCTTAATATATTCTCAGCAAACTTGAAATTAGTTTTAATATAAAAGTATCTTAGTATGATGACATATTTTTAATTTAATTTTGAAAAATTTAACAAAAATGTCATTCCTATTATTAATTTTAATCTGAATGAAATTAGTAATAAAAAACACGCATGTACATAATATTGCTCAATAAAATTATCTTTTAAAGTTATATCAGTAGTTAATATATGCTAAATATAATAATTAATCACTATTAATATTTGTAATTAATATTTACAAAGTATTTTTTACACATTTATTTTGACAACAATCAGTATATAATTTAAAATATCTTTATTAAAACTAATAGTGATTTGTTCTAGCAATATGCTCCTTATAAATATAACTTTTTTTTTAACGAATTGTTTGTGTTTAAAAGCTTTTTATTTATTAGGCACTTTGTATTTACAATTATTTTGTATTGAAATGTTTAAATTGTAATTCTAATTTAATTAAATCATATACCCAAGTAAGAAATCTGATATTAATGGAAATGATCACAAATTACTTTAAATAAAAGAACAAACTACAGCATAATGCACTATCACTAACATATCTAAAGAATGTTTTAAAAAATAATCAAATTTTGATAATAAATATATGAAAAAAACAAACTTGTTTGATGAAATAGTAGAATTTTTAAAAACAAAATTGCAATGCCTACAGCATAATTTAATAAAATACATAAATAAACTTGTCAAATTTACACCACAAACTTTACATCAGATTATTGTGGAAATGCTTAGCTTGAATGCTCGAGTGGAAATCAAAATATCATCCCAACTTATCATGATATTATTAAAAGTGAAAAAAGTTGACCACATACATATTACAATTTATCCCTAATATTCAATTAAATATTTTAGAACCAATTTATAAGTTTGCAATGCTTATAAATCACATTAGATACTCCACAAATTATTTAATCAAAATCAATTGATGAGTTGATATATATAAAAAACATTATTCTCTATATAGAAACAATCTAAGAATTCGTTGTTATAGAGGATGAAAGTGGTTTAAATAATAAAGGTCACAGAGGATGAGTGTAGTCCTATTAAAAACAAATTGGACACATCAGTTAACGCTATTTGAGTTGGTGAATTTGAATGCTGCAAACAATAGATCAGATGGGCCAGATTTGTAAGACAAACATGTTATACATATTCAATATAGCAGGCACTATTCATGTAGGATATAAGCTGAAAAGGAGATGTCATTACTGTCCATATAGATACCATTATTACTCAAAAATGTCAGAAATTGATTAAAACCTTTTTAAGATTTAACCTATTTAAGATTTAAAACTTATCAATTATAAATTAAAAAAACATTTAAACTTAAAGCATGATAACACTTCGTTTCAACTTAAAAAAATCTATAGATATAGTTTGCAAAAAATTATAACTTTTAGATTCAGCAGGTTGTAAACTCCTTTGGTACCAAATTTCAGAATCACAGCATTACTACAAGTACCTTATAAGGGTAATGGTAAATGGAAACATTTTGAACCCCCCACCTCATTTTTTAGTCAAAATCAAACAAACTGGAACAAACTGGAAGCCGCTCTGAATTCTAAACGTATAGGAATTTTATGAAAAAAATTTAGTAATTTCTAAATTATGTCTCTTAAACAATTGTTCCAAATTCCTGCAAACTTCATGATATAGGGTGCAACCTTTTAATTTTGTTCAGATTTTAACTTTAAAAAATTTTACAGAAAAATTTATAGTCTACATCAATGTATGTACACCTGTATGTACCTCTTAAACTCTTAAACTCTAAATCTCCTAAACAATTGTTCCAAATTCCTGCAAACTTCATGATATAGGGTGCAACCTTTTAATTTTGTTCAGATTTTAACTTTAAAAAATTTTACAGAAAAATTTATAGTCTACACCAATGTATGTACACGCCTATGGCTAAATCAGTTGTTGATAGAATTGGTTGCACTCAATTCTATAAGATAATAACTTCTCAAGTAATGCAAATAAGAAATGGTTTATAGTATCAAATGCTTTAGAGTTAAATTTATAAACTAAATCTAAGCCATTGTTTCTTTTTCTATGGATTTCATTTAACAAGTTTTTGAAAATTAAATTAAGCAACCTTTGTATAGCCTTTTTATAGATGTTACCAAGGTTACCAGATAAGTGCAAATAGTTTTTAGGAGCTTTATTTTAGAGATCTTTATAGAACTTTGTATTGTTATTGTATTGTTTAACTAAAAATTGTCATAAAGGTGGAAGTGTAAATATAGGTCTATAATTTTCAGAAAAACAAAATTGATTTTTTTTGAAAAGTTACATAACTTATACAGTTTTCAAGTTTTTGGCACAATGCCTAACTTACACTTAACAATGCTCAAATACTTTAAAAACACTTTAATAATAATTAATAAAGACAATTTAAACATAATAATATTGTAGTGTTTGATGTACTTTAAAAATATTCATCTGGTAAATTTGTTTGATTTAAGTTGCTATAAGTGATTTTTAAATAATTTTAATGAAAATATAGCTAAATTAACATGCTTTTGTTTTAATTTTGGATCCGAAAATGGTTTGAGGGCAATTGATTTCACAGCTGCTGAAAAATAAATACAAAATGTTTGAGCAGTTAATTTTTACTTCTTTTTTTACACTTTTATTAGTTGGAAATATAGCCTTGATTGAAGAAATTTTATTCTTTTTTTGTATTTTCTCATATATATAATATAAAGATATTTAACTAAAAGCAACTCATACATAATGTTAATAATATAAATTTTCTACACTTTGATTTTGAAAGTTATTTATAAATCAATATATTACTTACATATACTCACAAAATGTTCAATTTAAAATATAATACAAATAATCTCAATAATTTAAAAGAACTTACGGATTCAGCTTTGTGCATACTAGTTTCACAATGTTTTAAAATTTCATTTTGACCCGTTACTTCTTTTTTGCAAAGAAAGCAGAATATATTATAGCGGTTTTTATCAGACTGCAATAAAAAAAAGTAATTGTACTATATAGTGTGTTTAAGCAATGAAATTGAAACTAATCTACATCATTTTACACATATAGAAGCCTAATATATATATATATATATATATATATATATATATATATATATATATATATATATATATATATATATATATATATATATATATATATATATCTGTGTGTGCGTGTGTGTGTTTGTGTGACAGAAGATAGAACCTAACAGAGATCATAGTGTTTTCTAGAATATTGGAACTGCTGATTAAACACTTAATAATTGCTTGGCAAAAAATTGAAGAGAATTCTGGAGAACACAATTGTAAGACTACAATGGAAATGTTGTCTGAACCACAAGCTATAGAAGTATTAAAATTGAGAACTGACAGCAGCATTGAAAGTGATGTCTAACAAAAAGTAAACTGTTTAACTGAATTAACTGAAATAAGAGGAAAATTTCTTTGCAAACAGTTTAGCCTTATTCTAAGGAAAATAAATATAATCAGACCCATGAATTAGAGATGTAATGTTAGACTTACTTTAGTTAACAACACTGAACCAAACATTTGAAATAAGATACAAGATTTAGTAAACTGAGAATAATAAAGCTTAGCATAATACAGAACCTTTTTACATTAACTTCAATAATAAAAAAACATTTGTTCTAAATAGAGATGTTCTTGTAAAAAAGATAAAAAAATGGTTTAATATAGCAACTGTAAAAAACGATGAAATTGTGGAGTAGAATTGAATCAAACTGATTCAGATCATCTTTTAAGTTTCTCTAAAGAAAAGAAATTTTATACCTGCTTGGATCCAGGAGGATAGGTGTAAGGTACTTTTATGCATACATAATATAGATATATATGGATATAAACATATATTGTTGCTATTTATTTAGATGCTGGCACACAATACCTTTATAAATATATAAACTTTAGTATTTATATGGTGTAATATTTGCCAAAAGAGAAGATGATAATTAGATAATTTTGTGGTTTGATTCTAACAAGAGAAGAAAAAGAGTCATAATCTTAGACAGAGATTTAAAAAAGTATTGTATCAATCAACGTCTGTCAGAGAAGTTTAAAGTGATTTGGGTATCAGCATGTAGAGAGGTAGCAGCTTAGAAGTAAGAAAACTTGCAGAGAGTGCATTACATTTGGTATGAACAAGCTTTAGTAAGGCCATACAATGCTTGAGATTTGATTTTTGAAAAAATGCTAAGGAAACAGCATAAAAGGGAAAGGATAAAGCCATGTGATGATATACATTTTTGGCGTAGAATTATTACAATAAAATAGAAATACAACGTGCTGCATTTCTATCTAAACTTTTGCTGTAAGAAGTTTAATTTTCAGGTGAAGATTTTTTGTTTTAAACGCAGCCATTGTTTGAAATCTTATTAAAAAGTGCTTTTATATATTTTAGATATCATTCTTAATAGACTTAAACATAATCATATTTATGATATATGTTAGTATATTTTTAGTTATTTTTAGTGTAAAGAACAGACCAGTACAGAATAAGTAAAAAAACACTTGTCTAACAACAGCTTCGGCTAAGTTATATATATATATATATATATATATATATATATATATATATATATATATATATATATATATATATATATATATATATATATATATAAGTTTTTTTATCTTTTGTATGTTTTTTTGTCTTTTTTTAATGTAAGCGTAAGTATTATTTATCGGCCGTATTTTAGGCCGCTTAACTGTCGGTTTACATTATGTATATATATATATATATATATATATATATATATATATATATATATATATATATATATATATATATATATATATATATATATATATATACATACATATATATATATATATATATATATATATATATATATATATATATATATATATATATATATATATATATATATATAGATATATAGATATATAGATATATAAATATAGATATATATATTTCATTTAAAAAAACATTATATATATATATATATATATATATATATATATATATATATATATATATCATTAAATGATATTAAAAATAGTTTATATTTTTTCAAATGATTTGAAAAAACTCAAACTATTTTTAATAGTTATATTTTACCTTTTTATTAAAACAATAAATTTCACTCATTTCTTCACATTTTTTAATGATCTCCATCTGTATAAATAAATAAAAAAACTTCATTTCTTTATATTTTTAATGGGTTTAAAATGCAGTATCTATATATTAAAGATGCATAAATTTATATATAAAGATGCATGAATTATATATGAATTATATATTATGCATGAATTATATATTATTATTTTGCATTCAATGCATGAATTATATATTTTATACATTATTTACTTTAATATATATTTCACTTTTATTGTGAATTTTTAATTGTTTTAATAATTCTTAAAATGCCTGAATTCTATTACAATAAGAAAATGTAAAACATTTTTTATAAGCAGCAGAGATTTTTATAGCTCTTTGTCAAGTTTTTTTATAAATAAGTAATATTGGTAACAAACCATTGGTTAGCTAGTGTGGAAACCCAGACAACGCTTGTTATGTATATTCTTGTAATATTAATGTTACAAACATATTATTGAAGCAAGCATAAAACCAAACTTTGTATTTAATAAGCAAGTTTATAGAGGAATAAACAGATAGCTTATACAAAAACCAAAAACTCTTGTAAGAAACTGTTTAGAGGGGCAGCTGACATGGCTCAACACATTTATTTTAGTATTTTAGTAAGCTTTTCTCTGCTCTCACGCTCATTTTCTATTGGCGAGGCCTATATATATATATTTATATATATATATATATTATATATATATATATATATATATATATATATATATATATATATATATATATATATATCGTCACATTAGAATTATAAGGTTCTATCTGCCTTTTTTATGTTGTGAGAACTTGACTTTCAATATTTAATTAATACATGTTTTACAGTTGTTATTCATTATAATTATAAGTTGTTTATGTTATCTGTTAAAAATGTTAAAAAATTACATATAATACATCATTTTTTAACTGGTTTGTTTTTATTATTAATTATTAATTAAAACTTTGATTGTTAAATTCTTTTAACATGAAACAAGGCAGACAGAACCTTATAATTCTCATGCGACGATATATACATATATATATATATATATATATATATATATATATATATATATATATATATATTATATATATATATATATATATATATATATATGTATATATCGTATATATATATGTATATAACACCTATTTTTAATATGGAACTTATTTATGAGAAACTAGCACTAGAAGCCAAATTTTAAGAACCTCTAGTACTAAATTATTTTTTCATTGGAAACATTTTATTGATGTTTCAGTGACATTTTTTTACTGACAAAATGGTGAAATAGAATTGAGAAATTGGTATTTATATTCTAACTTGACAGGAAAAAGTTGTCGTTTTTTTTCAACAATAAAGATAAGCTTAACTTCAGGTTAAGTTGTTCAGGTCTGTTGTCGTTTTTTTTCAACAATAAAGATAAGCTTAACTTCAGGTGGATTTTTTGATTATGCACATACAGGAATACGATTATCTGAGCATGAATATTTAAAGAAACATCTTGAGTCAGTGTAAAAATGGCGAATTCTAGAATTTAACATTAAACACAAAACAGGAATAGATCATCTTAATGAAGATGTGCTCAATTAAGAAAAAATGCAGATAGCAAGTAATTTTAAAAGATGATCCTCGCTCAGGGCACCTACAAACCACGTATACAGCTGAGAATATTGAATATGTGCAAGCCATTATTGAAGAAAAACAACATGCAACACATGATGTAATTGAGGCCTGACATCAATTGATCGTTTTACAATTAATGAAACTATTCACAACACACTTAAAAAAAGAAAACTAACATCATTTTAGATACCACACAAGTTAATCGATCAAAATTAAAAGAATAGAGTTGAGGTATGTAAGGAAAATTTAGCCTTTTTTAGAAACAGCCCATGGAGGCTATGTGATATTGCTACAGGACGGAGTCATGATTTTATTTGAGACAAACTGGACAAAAGTCAGATAACACTAGTTGGGTCAGTGAAGGTGAAAGTCCAAGACCTATAGTAAGATGTGATGAGTTTTAGCCAAAAAGCATGCTCAATATCTTCTTCAAAATAACATGTGTTGTTTATTTGGGTTATGTTAAAAAAGGAGACACCATTACTAGCGAATATTATATAAAAATTGTTTGAAACCACTTATATGCAAAATAAATATGCAGAGACCTAAAACGCCTGTTTTAAGCCTTTGCTCACAGTTTAAACTAAACCAAGCTGGAATTACAATAATTTGCCATCCACCATACTCACCAGACTTAGCTCCATCTGATTATTGGCTATTCAACTTGGTGAAAAAAAATTATAAGGTTTAGCAGGGATTAATAGCTAAAAAAAATTTATAGTTCTTTATATTTTATTTTTATACTTACGTTTATTATTTATTAAATTCTGTCATATATTTATGTCAGTATTTAATAAATAGGGTCAGATACAGCAAAAAGATGCAACATGTTGAATAAGAAGCAAGAATGAGTTTTGGTTGTAATAGAGATGATCGCTCATTTGTTTGTCAAGGTTCATGTTTCGAAGTTATAGAGTTGAAAGAGGGTTATAACCACTATTAAGTAGCCTCCTCGTCTGTAGTGGCCTTCTCGGCCTTGAGGAGGTGAATAACAAAGAAAAAAAAAAGAAATTTGAGCATTGACCATCATTAGTAAAACAGCATAAATAGAGAAAGCTAAAACCTGATGATGATGATGATGATGATGATGATGATGATGATGATGATGATGATGATGATGATGATGATGATGATGATGATGATGATGATGATGATAATGATGATGACAATAGTAAAAAAAATCTATTTAAGAATATATATATGTTTATGTAGCCTGGATCACAAACCCGACACTGGCCCTGGCTACATTTTATAAAACCTGGCCCCAGTCCCAGTCAACCATCAACCTTGGTCATTTACTAGTATAGGTACAGATCAAATCTCCAAAAAATTTGCAACAATGAAACCAGAACAGGATCCATTTATTATATTATACATAATACATAACCATTCTAGTATATTATATATAATAAGTATTGCAAGTGTCAACCATGGTTAACACTTGCATTACCTATTATGTATAAATATACTAGAGAGATAAATGATTTATCTCTCTTTATATTTATATATAATATACTAGAATGGTTATGCATATGATTTAAAATCCTTCTTCAGAGTAGATAATAGCTCAAGTATATGCTCTATTTTGGTTTACTATAAAAAGATCAGGTCATTGCAAAGACTGAGCAAAGATTCTTTTCAAAATGATTGAGCTGACAAAACTTCAAGATAAATTAATAAAAGAAGTTGTTTTTAAAAAATTGGACAAAAATTAAAAAATAATAAATAATTTATGAATAGGTTATTGTTACAATTTTAGCAGCCATGAAGAAAATGAAAAAAAAAAAATTAATTATATATATATATATATATATATATATATATATATATATATATATATATATATATATATATATATATATATATATATATATATATATATATATATATATATATATATATATATATATATATATGTATACATATATATATATATATATATATATATATATATATATATATATATATATATATATATATATAAATATATAGTTATAATATATATATATATATATATATATATATTATAAATATATAGTTATAATATACATATATATATATATATATATATATATATATATATATATATATATATATATATATATATACATATATATATATATATATATATATTTTTTTTTAAATTAATATATATATATATATATATATATATTAACTTAAAAATATATATATATATATATTTTTTTTAAATTAATATATATATATATATATATATATATATACATATATATATATATATATATATATATATATATATATATATATATATATATATATATATATATATATATATATATATATATATACAAGTGTCGTATTCGACATTTTCGAAAAAAATAGCTTATATATGCGAATTTTCTAATTTTTGGGAAATTAATTTAAAAAAATTGTCCGATAGCTCAATTAATTTTTTTTCCACTATAGTTCAGTAGATCATTTATTGTAAATGAATTTTTTGTGCGAGTCGTTCGATATACATTTGTAGATCAATTAGTAGCGTTCTATTTGCTCACGTGTCTTTAGATTTAACTGCGTAATTCTCTTGTTTACTTTTAAACGCATGTTTTTTGGGTTCGGTGTTTTTAAAGAGAACGAAAATTTTGAAAGTGAAAGGTCGGTGTCGCGTTAAATAAGTAGATCGTTAAATAAGTAGACAGTCAGTTCTGCGCAAGCGTGACGCATGCGCAAATACGGTGTAAAGCTTAAAGTCAAATTTATCGTTAAATAAGTAGCCTTTTTTACGTTAGGCATAAACTTAAAAAACAAAAATAATAATATTTTTAAATTTTTTAAAACTATATAATTAAATTACCAGTATATAGTTGCTCAGTTGAAGATGCTTAGCAGTATGTCGCTGGTGGAATAATAAATTATTATAATAAAAAATGTCTACTTTGTGGTAGGTGCATATAAAAGTTAAACTTTTATATAATTTATGTTTAAGAGTTTATGATTATCAATAAGACCCAAAAGACCCTTTACTCCAAAAGCCTCAAAATAACTTTGTTTCACTTTAGTTATTTCCTCTTGACTACTGTACCATTTGACAAGGTAGCTGTAGTGTTGCATAAAGGACTCACAAAACTGATGGATTATTCGACTAGTGCTAGCCTGGATAATCTCAGAAGTGTCGCCTAAAATTAAATAATAATAAACTTTCATAGCTTCATTCATGTAGTTTATGATTGAATTTATGAACTGTTTATGTTTACGGAAACTTTGATTTTGTACAAGATGTGTAACCTTAACTTTTAACCTTACAAAATAATACATAGTTTATATCATTAATGATATAAAATACGTATTTTATAATATTGTATGTTTCTGAAGTTAATTTTGCACTATGTCTCAGCATCTCAAAAACTGCAGTTGTTTTGGGATTTTTATTGTGTATAGTGCCCATCAAAGGAGTCACTGGGGCTGATGAGCCAGCTTTTATTTGCAGGTAAAAAAAATAGTTTTTAAATGAACCAAAGTAGTCTTTAAATAGGCTTGAGTAGTATACAAATTACTATTAAATAATATAATTGACATTTTAGTTTTTTTTTTATCCAGTATTTATTACTGTAGGATCTAATTTTATTTTTTTTTAATTTTAATTATTCACCTCCCCAAGGCCCGAGGGGGCCACTACAGTCAAGGAGGCTACTCATTTTTTTTTTAATGATCATATTGAAGAGTTCCAAATATAGTTCCTAATTATAGTTATAGTGTAATTATACATTTTAACTTATAAAAATTCTTTCATTTTGCTTAATAATATGTTTTGCTTCATTTTTTTAGAAAAGGCTATTCAGCTATAAATTGCCAATTTGTTGTCGATTATGATGGGCAGTTCAGAGATGTAGTTGCTTTTGTTTATTCAAATTCTACTTTAAAACAAACGATGGAAGCTGATCCAGTTGCCGGTTTTCTTTTTTGTGATTCAGGATACGGGTTATCGCCAGTCATGATTACACCATTTAGTCCTGCAATAACCCCTGAAGAAATGTTTTTCAACAAAACCCACTCAAAGGTTCGAAGTAGAATAGAATGTTGTATTGGCAGTCTCAAAAACAGGTGGGGATGTCTACATAAAAGTGGCGGAACTCTTCAATATTCTCCTACCAAGTGCTGTTCGATCATTTATACTTGTGTATTACTTGAGAATATGTGCAATTCATTGGGTTTAGAAGAGCCAGATAATGTTGTAGCTAGCGACAATGCAGTTGGTAACACTGAGATGATAACAGATAATAACAGCACTGAAAATAATAGTAATTTTTATCACGTTGGTCGAGGACAAATCAACCAAATTCGACTTGGTTTAACTAGAAGAAATGATTTGAAAAACTATATGTTTGCCAATAGACATGCTTATGTTTTATAACGTTGTGTTATTAGATAAAACTGTTATTTAAAAAAAAAACATGCTTTCTTTATTTAAGGAATTTAGTGTGTGAAATGAAAATCTTTTTTTAAACTTTAATAATGATATTATGTGTATGTTTTTGTGTGGTGTCTACGTTTTGATTTGATGGCTATCTTTGGTTTAGCTGTCTATAAGTTCATATGGAATTGTATAAATTAATTAATTTTTTTTTTTTGAAAAGATGTTAAATTAATCAACAAATATAAAATTAAAACAAAATTCAATTTATTAAAACTATAATACTGATTTGATTATTCTATAATGCTGTTAATGTGCAAAGGGTCTTAAATTTTTTTTTGTTTTTAAATCAACGTTAAAACAAATTATTTTAAATCAATAATAGAACAGCTATGCTACTCACTTCAGAATTTTTTGTTTCATTTTTTGCCATTCAAACATTCGATTTTAGCTAATGATGAACATTTTTAACTATAATTAGGTAATAAATAAAATTAATAATCAATTTATTAGATAATATGAACTAGATTATGTACATTTATTAATTATTTGAGATTGCTGAAGCGATCTCTTTTAGGGAATTAGCAATCTTTTCAGATGACTCTGCGAGACTTTTTTTAGACTCTGCAATGCATTTTAAGGTGTCGCCAATACTTTCCAAAAGAGGTTGATCAGTTAGAATAGTTGGCTTAAGAGCAGACGCTATTTACTGTCCGGTTTCAATAATTTGTTGACCAAGCTTAGACATGTTTATCATATAGTTATCTACATTTGATGGTGATAACTTTTGTTTTTTAGAGGAATTTAGTGACTGTTTACACTCGACATTCTAAAATTAAATTTAAATTCGATGTTAAGAAATAAAACAATTTGAAACATAAATAGTAGTTTATTTATTTTATTTACTTTTGTTGTAAAACAAAAATAAATTAAAGGGAGTTATGCACCTCTTTTGTAAAAATTGGCTCAACAGATGTTTTGTCTTCTATTGTCGAAAACGTAGGAAAACAAGTTGATGCAGTGGAACTTAGTGGTGTCACTGAAAATGTTTAGAGAGTCTATCGAGGGTAATGTTCTAGGTGAATTGTAGGATTCTTGCAAATCAGATGAAACTATTTTCTATAAATAATAATGATCTACAATCTATATAATCTACATCATCATCATCAGAATAAATCTACATTATATAAATAGTTTTGTACCAACTTATAATTTTCTATAATTCTATAATTCAATTTTTCTATAATTCAATATGAGTACTGATTACTCCCAAAAATTGAAAAGAACACTAGGGATCAAAATACAAATAACATATTTTTTGGGAAAATAATAACTTGTTGAATTTATCAGTGAAGCATCTTCTCATAACAAGTTCACCTTAGGTATATTCCTAGACTTGTCAAAAGCATTTGACACCGTTAATCATCAGATTTTATTAGAAAAACTAAAATATTATGGAATAAGCCACGAATACCATAAATGGTTTACCAGTTACTTAACTGATCGAAAGCAGTTTATTTCTCTTAATGATGGCTTTTAGACAAACAAACTTAAAATATCATGTGGGGTTCCACAAGGCTCCATCTTAGGTCGGTTGCTATTCTTAATCTATGTCAACGATCTATATAAAGCATCAAATACTATGTCTACTATTATGTTTGCAGACGACACCACTTTATTCTATTCTCACAGTAATATTATCTCTCTATTTCAAGTAGCAAATAATGAACTAGAACAAATATCAAACTGGCTTTTCGCTAACAGCTTATCTTTAAACACTGATAAAACTAAGTTTTCCTTATTCCATTCTAAACGAAAGTTTCAATCTATTCCAAAATCCTTACCGATGCTATATATAAATAACATCAATATTGAGCGCTCATTCACAAATAAATTACTTGGTATTTTAATAGACGAAAACTTATCCTAGAGAGCTCATATAAATCATATTAGCAATAAAATCTCAAGAAGTATTGGCATCTTATATAAAACCAGACGAATCTTAGACAAATCTACACTAACTCAACTATATTTTGCATTCATAAAAAGTTATTTATCTTATGGCAATATTGTTTGGGGTAGTACAAATAAATCTAAACTCGATTGTCTCCTTAAACAACAGAATCATGCAGCACGCATTATTCATTTTCAAAATCGCTTCACAAATGCTAAACCTCTTCTAAAAAGCATGAGGGCACTTGATATTTATGAGTTAAATATTTTCAAAATTACACAATTTATGTTTCAACATCAGTCAAAAAAAACGCCGAAGGTTTTCGAAAATATTTTCCATAAAACATTAAACCGATACAACACGCGATCTACCGGAAGATTTAAAAAACCTTTCCGTTCATCAAAACTTACGAGCTTTGCCATTTCCTATCGTGGCCCAATGCTATGGAACCATTTTACAAGTCTGAGTGGTAAACTTAAAGAAGCCAATACCTCTCAAAAATTTAAAAAGAACATAATCGAACTTATTGCCAATCACGATTCTTTACATGATTTTTTCTAACAATACACGATTATTTCCAATTTTTATTATCAAAGGTTACTGATGAAAAGACTTTATCTTCTTCAGGTTCTCCGGTCTTGTAACTATTATAAATAATGAAATGTACTTGTATTTAATATTTCTAAATATTTTACGGAAATTATCTTTAATTGTAAATGGTTGCTTGACAAAAATTGAAAGAAAAAAAAAAAAATATATATATATATATATATATATATATAAAAATACTTTTTTGGACTCTTGAACTAGATTGCACTATATTCTCTTTGTAAATCTCATTATCGTTGCAATGTGACGACTGCATATTGTTGCTAAATTATACAAATTATATGTATATATATATATATATATATATAATATATATATATATATATATATATATATATATATATATATATATATATATATATATATATATATATATATATATATATATATATATATATATGTATATATATTTATAACTTAAATGAAAAAAATACAGCTTTTTATGGAACTATTAGTTTTATGCCATTCGGCAATCATTCATCCATATTATTCAAAGTTTACAAAATAAAAAACCGGTAAAAAATACAATTTTTTAGCGTTGTAAAGGTATCTGACGTTAAGTTTACGTCAGATGATATCATGAGTTCCTAATTTCCGGTATCGAATTGTGAAAGCAGAACTTATTTTCTATGCCTGCAAGAAGAAACCAAGTCACTTTTTTATTAAGTAATGATCATTGCTCATAAGTCATAATTAAATACTTTTCATATAGACAAAGGTTACATCTTTTAGTTGATCGATTATATGATTGACACTTTTTAATTATGTTCCACTTGAAAAACGGCATAATATCTGCATTTTTATGTTTCCATATTTCTTTAGAGAATTCTGTATCGTTTTCGTATCTAGTAACGTTAAATGATTTTAAATGGTTTGCAAACCTAAGCTTGAATGAGCTTTTACTGATAACAATATATGATTTTTCGGAAATACTGGGGTTAGGCTAAAGATATAGTTTTATAGACGACATTTTTAGATAAGCATTGATTATTTAAAAGGCATGAAGGTTTTTTAATACAGTTGCAGTTGGTGACACTAGCAGTGGGTTTGTTGCGTAATATTTTATGGTTGTGTGAGTTAATAATTGATCCAACAATCGGCATATTTCTGTTAAATATCTAAATATTTAAGCAAAACAGTCTTTGTATTTCTATCCAATCTACTATGAAAATTGTTAATTACCTAGATGTAACATTGAACCTTAACAACAGTAGTTTTTGTAATTTTAAAAAATTACAAAAAAAATTTGTAATTTTTTCATTTAAATTATATAAATATAATTCTATTTTATCTATTTTACAAAGAAATATTGATCACTCTTAAGCAGACAAGAGCTGTATTTTTAACAGAATACTATACCTATCAACAATGAAATATATATATTATATATATATATATATATATATATATATATATATATATATATATATATATATATATATATATATATATATATATATATATATATATATATATATATATATATTTAGCAAATAATAAAAATCAACAAGAAAATTTATTAAACTACCACATTGCACAAAAAATAATTTGCATACTGATCAAACGTTTGTTCCTTTGGCTGTGGTGAAAAACTCCCTGATATCTGTTGAAAAATAAAGTCGTTATTTGATGCGGTAGGACTTTGAAGAGAGTCAATACCTCCAGTGATTCCCTGTAAATATATATGTATATATATACATATATAAGACACACAAAAGTTATATTCTTTTAAAATCATTACCATGTATGCAACTTTCGGCATCTTGGACATCATTTGTTGATCAAAGGAGTTAAGCTCTTTCAAACACCCCTCACCCCCGTCAGTCTTGTTTAGACTAGAAATAATCCGTGCTGCTTTTCTCTTGCTGTCAGATTTTTGATCAGATAGCTTCTTTTTACATTTTGCGGTCTGAACCGACCTGCATCAACATATTTATCATAATGCCATAATAAAACAAATAAATAAAACGCCATACAAAAATTAAAGCACTAAACTACTTTTTTGTACCATTTAACATAAATACTACTACTAATATTAAAAATGATTAGTAAAATATTTAGTAGAAAAAAAGAGTTAATAAAAATAAAAACCTACTTTTAAGCAGAAATATTTATTTATTACTTATGCTTCTTTGAAGAACTTAATTTTGTTAACAATGTCTGCAGATATTTTATAGTAATCAGTGTAGGCATTAAAAACTAATATGTACATTTATAATTTTTATTTATTTCCTTATTAGATCATTTGCTCAGTAAATAGTATACTATATTGATTTAATTAATCAAGAAATTAGTTAAAGAAATATTTAAAATTTAAACTAAGTACGTGTATTTCCCCAAATAAGGAAGAAATTACTAGAAACATCTGTCTCTCAATCGTTCATTTTCCTTAATTCTTCTTCTCATCTTCTGGGAAATATACGTTCTTAGTTATATATAATTTATATATAACGTTCTTAGTTATATATAATTATATAATAACTTAGTTATTATATAATTGTATATAAGACGCACATGCACATATATATATATATATATATATATATATATATATATATATATATATATATATATATATATATATATATATATATATATATATATATATATATATCCC